CAGTGACGTCACGTTAATCAGGCAATTATGCATATTCCCCAAAATGTCAAACAATTCCTTTAAGGCTGTTTTACATTTAAATGATGACTGATGTGTTCATGAAGAAACACAATGCACTCAGGCTCCAACTGCCATCTCTCATTATTCTATCAAATAAGAAACTGTGCAGAAAACAGAGTAAATGACTGCCTTATGCAAGACAATGTTCCCATTTTACGTCATTTATGCAAACTGGCAGAAGATGTAAATTGATCCATTTTTGCTGTCTTGATAAATGATGAGGTTTTCGTATACACAGTGTTCTCCAGTAAAGTACAGCTCAGACTGCGATAATACTGACTATTTTCCTTGGATGGGCCTGGAGTGGCTGCCTGCAGGGCCACAGGAAAATAGTGTACAGGCTCCCTGCAGTCTAATCTGAAGAGATGAATGCTGCTCCCCTGGAGTGAGAGAAAAGTCAATAGATGTCTGGATAACATGTGTATCTGACACATACTGTAAAGCTGACTCGTAAAACCAGGGACAGAGCACCACACTCACGTACAAGTGAATGACTTGCCTAATGTATGTCCTGAGTTGAATGTGCAAATGTATGCCGAATGATGCGGTCATACACGGGAAAAACACTGAAATGATCTCATCTTCTCTCTCTAATGTTTTGGACAAGGTTCAACACTGGCTGAATAACATTTGCTTACAGTTAAATGCAAAAAAAACAGTATGCATGATGTTTCAGTAAACGACCAGTCAAAATCGAAGGATCCAATGTGTTTTTAAACGGAGCAGAAATAGAACTAGTCCCCCACTTCAAGTATCTTGTGTACGGCGGGATAACTTATTATTTTATTTAGACACTTGTTAGCAAATCCTGTGCTCAAAACCTTTAAAAGTTTCAGACGTTCACCAGTGTACTGAAGTATAGTTTGTCACAAAACATTGACATCTCCAAGCTTGTATTAACCACAGAACTTTTTTTCGCGACTCTAACTAAAGTTCAAGTATCTTGGAGTCATACTGGACTCGAACTTGACTTTTAAGAAACATATTAAGAAAGTATCCAACACCGTTAAATTCAACTTGCAAAATGTTAAACAAATTAGACCTTTCTTAACTGTCAATGCTGCAAAGTCATACCTCCACTGTATGATTCTATCCCACATTGAATACTGTTTGACAAACTGGTCGTTTGCTTGTGCCACAAACCTGAAACCAGTAGAACAGCTGTACAAGAGAGCTATCAAGGTGTTTGACAGAAAGCCTTATTCATACCACCACTGTACCATCCTTGAAAAACACAATTTCTTGAGTTTTTACCATTTTAAGTCTTTTAAAAGTATGTGTTTTTTTTATAAATGTTTACATGGACTGCCCCCCCCCCCCTCCCTTAGGGGAATTCATCCACAAAAAACACACTGGACGCTGCACTAGGTCAGAAACCAGAGGAGACTGTGAAGTCCACCGCAGACGAACCACTTTCGGTCAAAATGTTCTATCAATTAAGGGCAGCTCTTTCTGGAATAGCCTCCCAACTGAGATACGGGATTGTCCCACTTTGAACAGTTTTAAAGGTCAACTCAAAGAATGGTTGAGAAACAACCAGACGTCCAATCACCGCTAAATGCACTTTAACACAGGGGAATCTCCTCTTGCACTTGATGTAGCCCTTTTATCTTCTCCTGCACTTTATATGTCGTAGCAGCTACATTGTACTGCCATGTGGTAAATGCTTATATGCTGCTCATGCTCTTTCTGCATATCATGTATTTATTTTTGCTATGTATATAAATGTCATGTTCTTATATGTTGTATGTGAGGGACTACGGATGGAAATTAGCTAAAAGCTCAAATCCGGCATATTTACATTTTGAAGTATTAATTGTTAAAAATGTTCATCAATGTGCACTGTCCCTCTTCAAATAAACGATTAAATGAAATGAAACAACAAGTGCACACCATGCAACACACAAAGATCAGGTACAGTCTTTGAATGCCCAAACATAACTTATAAGACAGCTTTCCTCTGTTCCTGCCCATCCTGAACTATATATCTATTTGTTAAACCACTTCTTACAGATAACTGTCCTGAGGCTGAAATATATGAACCTGCCGTCAGAGACCTATTTACAAATGGGATGTAGACACTAAATATATGAGACTCCTTGACTGATCTCCAGTGCCCTCTACGTTTCCACTGTGCAGCCAACCACAAATCATATTTATGAAACTTAATATTCTTGCCAGCCTTGTGTGTTGTAAACTGACATCTTACCTGAATGCTTAAACTGGAGATCCATCAACATTTGAATAAGATCCCAGGAGAACACTCATCTCACCGCTCACTCAATCAATCAGCTCTGAAACCTCTGTAGCTCATACATTACTGATGCTCTCTGCTATTTTTAGATATAAAGGACATGGCTGATTGATCAAAATGTTCATGTTAATAGGAAGTTAGGAAACCATTGTCGGTTCCCAGAATGTTTTTGATTCAATTGTCTGACAAAAGGAGGCAACAATCCATGTTTGGGTGCACTTTTCTTAAGAATGCAATTGCAAAGGTCACTCAATAACCACTATACAAAGAAGCAGCTAAGTAGCTGATTGCAATTAAATCGGTTGGTGTTGCAAATACACAAAAGGTGGATGTTGAAAGGCCAAACAGGCTTTCATATAGTCACCTTCTACGAGATAAATAGTCCGGATGGTAAGTGATGAAAGTGCAAACATCTATGAACTATTAAAGTAAAATGAAGTCTGATTTGGAAAAAGTGGTTGCTGTGGAATTTATAAACTTCCATTGATATCCTTTTTTGGTGGGATTGAGGCAGACATCTGAGAAATGTAATGTTTATCTCAATACCTGGGGCGAATATGGCCTTGGCTAGAAAGCCTAAGGGAGAAGATATATTTTTTAATAATTTGAAATTGAATCACATTTTCTAGGTGTCAATTACACAACCGTATATAATTATAGACTGAAAAGCCTCCAGCTAAAGCTCACTGGAAATATAATTACATATTTTGACATGAAATAATTTAAATCAATGAGGGGTGTATTTTAAAAATCAAACACTGAGCAATGAAAATGATACGAGGAGAACAATTAAAAAAGATTAGATGATGCACGATTCTCATATGAATATTATAACACGTCAGCATCTGATATTGACTGCTGATAACACATTGTACTGATACAATGGTTATATCATCAGACAATAACAGAGTAGAAAGCTTGGATGGTCAGATTGATTCACCTACAAGGGATGTTTAACTTCATAACTTCTGTTTGGCAGCTACTGACATTTGATATGAACAAATGAAATCCTGTATATGAACTGCTCTCATACCCTCAGTCTCTGGTCTCATAGTATTGGACCTCCTGGCTCTTCCTGTCGTCTGCATCCACCATTTCCTGCCTGCCAGCACCTCGAGGAGACGAGGCATCTCACTGCAAATCACAAGGCTCTGTCCAAATGACTCCTAGTAAGTCTCCCTGTCATTCAACTCAATCCAGCTTTATGGTTGGCATAGAAGAATACATTGTTATGACCATGATTCATATCACAGGACTGAGTAATAATTCATATCTCAAAAACATCATTTTTTCATTCATTCTGCATGATTGACTGGTGTATAAAGCTTGTTAGGGCATTCAGTCTCTCTCAATGATCCATTCTCTTCTCAGATATTAAGCTTGGAGGATGCCAAGTGTTAAAACCTGTTCCAGCACTAGGTGTCATACAATCAAATAAATGTACATTAGCAGAAGACAGAGAATGTATTATGAGTATATTGGCTGAATACTCAAGACTATAACCTATTGATGGCAAATACAAATTCAAGTTATATTTCTTTATTTTTCTGTATAGTAAGTATAATTTTAGAACCAGAGCCACTCATCTCAATTTTACCAGTTTCATTTAATCAGTCAGATAAATAAATAAAGTTACATACCAGAACATTTGTTCAAGAAGGTGGCGATTTAAAAAAAGGATTGGCAAGTTCACTCATGAAAACCATCGACATGGAAAGTACCCCATCAGGTGTTGCATTGCTGTTACTACAGGCACATCAAGTAAAGTGTGGGTCTTTGTTATACACTATTGGAAAATAATATGTACTGGCTGTGAGCACATAATGGATCTGAGGATTTTTAGTGGTGTATACATGAATGTGTTTTAATGCAGAGCAGTATAATTTAGAGTTAAAGGTCACCTATTGTGCAAAATCCACTTTTTTAGTTACTTTATACACAAATATGTGTCCCCACTGTGTAAAGAGATTCAGAAAGTTTCGGGTAAAAAGATTCTCTCTCTTTTTGTCCTGATCCATCTATATAAAACCCTGTCTGAAAATGAGCTGATCAGATTTTGACAACTTGTGTCACAGTGGTTTTGGGTTGTGCAACCATTCGCCAATAACCAACCAAGGTAACACCCGCCCACCAAATCACCTGAATCTCGAGAGCACTATTGGCTTTTTTTAGATACAGAATCAGCACTTTTTAAACAGGGCTGAAACAGAGGGGTTTATGGGATGCTACAATGCATGATCTGTTTCGAGCCAAACACTTTAGAGACATGTTTGTATATCTGACAATCTGACACCTATTATGTATTGTTGAAAAATAGTATAATCGGGGACCTTTTAAGTTGCATGACAGAAAGTATAATCTCCAATGAGCCTTTTTTCACTGCAGTCTAACTTGATTGTCATTCACTGTATAACTGAGGTCACAGAGGGAAAAACACAGGTGACATTAAGCCATTATGATATGATGGATATTGGCTCACTGACACAACTAAGTGGGGCATCGTTAATGCTATAACACCTGTCATTTTCTTAATAGACAATAACCGGAGTCTGTCTGTATACAATCACCTGTCCCCGAAGAGACTCCAGGTTTGCCTCTGTGTATCAAGTAGGTCGATAGCAGGGATCATCAGCTCCATTTCACATTATCTCTGTTTGCATGTAATACAAGACATTTGCAAAAGATACTCAATTGCTAGTTTATTAAAAAATAACATTTAATACGCCATGAGACAACACTGTACATTAGTGTGTGCAGGGGGAGCATAGGTGTTCCCCGAGAATACTGTGAGTGTAGGGTTGCTGGTCGGCTGTGAGGTCGTGCTGAAGTTGTCTCATGCTGCATTCATCACGCTTTAAGGGTTCACTGGTGTGCGACCCAGAGCAACAACTGAGCTCTGACACACTCTGTCACACATTTTATTTAGTTCCTCTTCTTGCAGGACATTCAGATGCAAATTTCGATTTTTCTGCTACAAGCAGGGACAGATTCCATGAGAAAACTCACAAACCCTGAGTTTCTGACTTTTGAAAAAGGTGTTTCAAATCAGACATTAGTATTTCTGGTATGCCCTCTTGTTATGAATGCAGCATTAGTCCTGAGAGGAGAAAGGAGACTGTAGGGTCAGGATCAGTCCAAGGTGGGCAGTGGAAGTGTGTGATTCCATGACAAACCAATCATCACGTCTGAAAATCAACCACATTCGAGGCAGCTTCAAAAATACCTCCCATGTGAATGAACATTGAGGTGGAAACACAGGTGAACGTAAATCTTTTCAGACTGAGACCCCTGAAGAAAAGTTCAGCTAACACTGTACGGCCCTAGTATAGAGTGAATTTCAGCACCGTCTTAGACAGATGCAATAGTGCATGTCATACAAAAAAAAAAGACACCATTAGAATCCAAAATGAACGATAGACTAGTGGTATTTTACAAAATATCACATTAGTTCATGAAATAGTGGAGCAGTCACACAATAGATCGATCCATATTTCAATGGACCACATGAAGCACTGACAATGTGAGATGGCAGTGTTTAGCTGTGCAATTATGTAACAGCACTCAACAAATTCAAATAATGACTAAGAAAGGAGGTAAGTGCGAGGTCAGACTTCTTGTGTACTTCAGTCAAGTCCACAATTTCAAGCTGCATTTCAGTGGCTTTTTGTTCACCTGAACTTAGTGTCCTTTTTTAATTGCTACATAAAAAAAACTGCTGGCAGTTTTAGTCTTAACCAGATGACATACAGGTTTCATTTGGCAGGCCATTAGTTCTCTATTAATTGAGAAAATGGGGATCATTTCATGTACTGACTTCTCCTTTTAGGACCTAAAATAAGTATTACAAGAAAGATGTCAAGTCTGCAGATTTGAAACTCAACTGTAGACTGATGAATATGAAATGACAGGTTAGTATTAAGCCATGACCGTGTTAAACATTGTTGCATTTCTTAATGCATCTCAGTTTCAAGGCATATGTGGAAGACTTCATCATGCTAATTATGACTAAGGAAAGTCTACATAATTCAGAAAAGTCTAGCTAATAACTCAACTCTGTTAAGAGATGTAATACTCCAGTTACAGGTGAAAAAAATTAGTAGATGACATACTAAACTGGCTAATAAAACTTTTGTTGAGGGAATATGGTTTGGAGAAGTGTTAGATAAGAAACCTTCTCTATGAGTTGCAGAATCCCTAGTTTTTTAGAAAGTAGGAAGAAAAAAGCCTTTTTTTATTGGCAGCGTTTTTAGCTTTTTGTAGGTAAATATCCCTCATCAATAGGAGTCACAAACTGGATCAACACTAACATCATTGCCCTGAGAAGTATGTTCCCTCGCGGCTATGGGTCTGGAGATGCCTTTTGATTTTGTCAGAGCGGCTGAAGCACTTGCCACACACAGGGCAACTGTATGGCTTCTCCCCAGTGTGGATTCTCATGTGTACCTTCAAGTGAGCCATCTGTGTGAAGCCCTTTCCACAAATCTGGCAGCGGAATGGTTTTTCTCCCGTGTGACTACGCTGGTGCTCCTGCAGTCTGCCCGAGGAGCTGCAGCATTTCCCACATACTCCACAGCGGTAAGGTTTTTCTCGAGTGTGCACTTGTACATGCACATGCAGATGGCCAGCATGACTAAACGCCTCCCCACACACCTTGCAGCTAAAGGAAGACATTTGGCCTTGTTGGGGCGATTTTTGATGAGGGCAGTCCACGGCATTAGCTCCTTGATTGCGCATTTGAGAGGCCTGCCCTCTGTTAGCACCAGCTCCATTTCCCTTAGCACCAACCATCTGTCCTCCATTCTCTACCCCAATAATGTCAATGTTGTTCTCATTCGAGCAGTTTGGGTTGACTGGTGCGAGGGGCTGGGCGCCACTGTTGGAGGAAGTAGAGCCTCTGTGGGCTCCTCCACTCTCCACCTTCACGTGTCTCGAGGACCCCCGAGATGCAGGATCCCTCTCCCTGTTCTCCACACCTTGACTCTGAGGAAGGTTGGATGTGTGCGGGCCTTCCTGGGGATATTCATTCACAACACGTGGGGGAGTAAACATGTTCTCTGGTGTGGTGCAAGAGCCATGACCACGAAGCTGATCATCTCCTTGGACGGCCCGGATGTCTCTTTTATCCTTAATCTGAATTGGGAGGCGCTCTTCATGCCCCATGCTGGGACTCCACTCACGACGGGGATGCTCACCATCCTCCTCTTCCAACAGAGCCATGGACGGACGATCTGAGAACACAAGGAAAAGGTTCAGATGAAAATATTCACGTCATTGCTTTTTGGTAAACCACCCCTTCACAACACATATTTTTACATGAAAAATGCTGAGCTGAACTTACTGTCCTGTTAACTTAAACAACAAACTAAATATTTTAATTCAGCTTTGCAGACCTGGTCCTTCATGGATGTATGTTTCTATGTTTTCTGTGAGCCCTAAAATAATTCAAGTTTCCAACAACATCCGATAGACAAAGTTGTAAGAGTATTTAAACTTTAAATAGAAATATCCAATTGAAATCTGTAACAGTGGTGAAACACAACATGTCTTAGTTGTAACTAAGCTGTTCAATAAACAGTACTGCACTACTGTTTGCCTCAGGATATTGTCTAGCCTCCTGGATCAATTATCAATTAAGTTTCAAAAATCAGGGGCTACTAAGCAATACTTTTTCATTTAATGTTTTTAAGTCTTCTACAAAACAGTCCGTGTAAATACCGGGGAAACCCTTGAGATTGTAAGGGTTGTGTACCATTAATCAGAGTGGATGTAATTGAGATATTTAACCATTTTAAAGCAAAAAGATAGATGTCAGGTGAAAGTTTTGTGTACAAATTGGTCTAAATGTAAGAGTACTTGGCGTATTTACACTCAAAATAAACAATGGCACCTTGGGCAACACTTGCAGTAGTTTCAGCCATAAGTTTACTGTGTGGTTAAAGTTGTACTATATTGGAGTAAACAAAAACAAACACTGTGACACAACAAGTGATTATTATGAAAACAATGTTTGCCGTTGTATCTGTCAGATAAATCATGAATAAGAACACTGACTACGTATAAACGCACACTAGTATGCAGTTTAAGCTAAATGCTAAACCATGTTAGGCTAACCTAGCTGGTTGCTAACGAACAAAGGTTGCTACGCGCTAGCCGCTGCACAACAACAGCAGCTAAAGTCAACTAGCTGGCTAAAGTTAACTTGTTTGGAAGTGAGTCAACATCCTTCTGACAGTATTTGGTGTGTTGTGACATTTATTTTTTAGGTGGTCATTTCCCTTTTACTACCAAATGCCACCACAAGACTTGGCAGACTGTAAATAAAGGGGCGCAACTGCACCGTTAGCTTTCTGCGGAGCTAACCTGGCCATATTTCGATCCCAGCGTCTCGCAGCCTGCGTCTCAAATGGTCGTTCTCCCGCTCCCTGATTGCTATCTCCTCCTGGTACTCCAAAATAGTATCCTCGACAGATTTGTATATCTCCTGTGCAGCGAGCATGAGACGCTCAGTCAAAAAGACGTTTAAAAACTGCAGTTTGGTCATTTTCTTGGATTGCACGGAGCACTCGCTGTTCTCCAAAATGGACCAAAAAAGATGCTCGACCCAATCACGTGACCCGGACTTATGTCTTCTCCGCTTGCTGCTCCTTCTTCATCGTTCCCCCAAGATTGTCTGTGACCCATCCATGCTGTGACCCCACTGATAGTGCTAGATTTTGGAGTTGCAGAGGCGACGGATTTGGGTTAGTTGCGGCTTTGAATGCTGTAACGTAACACTAATTAGGTCACTGAATATGGTGTTACACCTGCTGCCATCACCGTAACAGAAAAAGACAGTATATTTTATACTAATGCACTATGACCTAAAAACTCTGTTATTTCAAGGCTCATTATTCAATAAGGCATAACATGTCAAAGGGCCATGTAATATCATTACATTTGAACAGATGCACACTTTTGTGGTTCTCAGATCAAGCACACCCATTCTGTATCTTATTTTGAAAATGTTCTATCTGAGTAATAAGAAGTCCCAAATACAAACAACACAGTGTGGGAAGTTGGGAACTACATCATTGTCTAAACTATACAGGACAGTTTGTGGACACCATCATCGCAGTATGAGTTCAAGAGAGACTTTTATAAATTGTGTTTGAAAACCAAATTAGAATATTAGCTCACTTCAGGGGCACAGCCATACATATTTGAAAAACAAGTAACACCTATGCGAAATTAAATACCCAAAAATATTTCATTTTTATGACGTTTCCCTTTTCTATATTTCTTCGACTTTTGCAGGACTTAACAAGGGAAGGATTTCAAATGACTTTTTACTGTGAATTTGTAGATTATTGTTTCATCACCAATTAATGAATTAGGTAAACAGGTGGCATGACCTGGAAGTCTGGCTTCCTTGCATTTGAATACATTTCATTTTTATTTGTTTAATTCTTTATGTGTGTTCACATAGTATTTATATCATTCTACTCAGTTACCAGCCCTATCTTTTTTAGTGACTCAAACATGTCAAACAAACCAACGCAAAAAACTAAACAAACAGAAAAACAATAAAACATTTCTTAATAACATTTTAATAAATATATAAGAATGACTAACATTTCTGAAATGATTAAAGTGCTTGAACACTTGTACTCCAGCTCGCCAGGCGGCGGGACAAGTGCGGTGTCGTCGCTGACAGAAGCGGAAATGACGTAGCGTCAAACTTGCGCACTGCTCCACGTGTGAGAGCAGAAAAAGCACATTGGTAGATCGGCAGCTCCACCATGAAGCGACCAAGTAAGTGCGCACTGATAGCTATGTTAAATGCATATGTAAGCTTATTTAAAAACAACTAGTTAATTCTGTATGATTTGGTTGATTCTCCCAGCTAATAAACTATATGTTGATTGCAAAAAAAACACAATTTGTCAGTCTGCTTTAGCCTCGTTTTAGGGTAACGTTGAATGACCGACGCATAACTATTTTTTGTCTTTTTTTGTCTTCAGAGTTAAAGAAAGCAAGTAAGCGGGTGTCATGCTCCCAACGCTATAAAATACAGAAAAAGGTAAGTGTCTGACTTTATAATACTTTCCTGTAAAGATAAAGGTTCGCATGTGTTTAGACCATGAGGCCTATGTGAACGAGGCTGCTAACGTTAATGACACCCACATGTCTTACTCGTTGAGATTTTGTATTGTTTTTAAAGGAATTGTTTACATTTTGTTGTGTGTTTAGGTCAAGGATCACACCAGAAAACTAAGAAAAGAGTTAAAGAAAAAAGGAGGAGCGAGCAAAAGGCCTAAGAAGGATCTCGGCGTGCCCAACAGCGCTCCCTTCAAAGAGGAGGTCCTCCGCGAGGCCGAGCAGAGGAGGCAAGAGGTGGGCATCATGCGTACTCTATTATATTCATAATGGAGATATGTGCCAATATACAAAATTATTGTAACATTAAATTAAATGGAATTTGTAGTAAATGCATACACTACAACACACTATAAATAAGACTTGTGTTTACATACTGTGTGCATTTATATTAGCTTTAATGATTAAATGGAGATGCTTTAAGGGTGAAAAATGTGATATAAAATCTAAAAAGTTTAAGTTGCAATACCACCATTATCTTTTATTAAGATTCTGTGAATAATGCATCTGATTTTTTTTTTTTGGACTATACATTTGGATACACGATTTACAACATATAAGATTGATTAATAAAGTTATACTTGACCATATCTGCTAAATTGACGGATTAACTGTTTTCTCTGAGCTTTATTTCAAAAACGCGTATGGACACTTAATCTGCTAAAACGTTAAAAATAATAATGAATATTGGTTAGTATTGACTGAAAAGCTCCAGGCTATACAGTTGGATGAGAATAATGCTCCAATAGATTCTAAAAAGTGAAACTATGTGCTCCAATGCAACCACCAGGTGGCCACGAACAGCGTGGATCTTAAGAAGACAGTTTGCTCTTATATCACAGATGATTATATTTTTACTAGCCTAAGCCTAGCCTGTGTTTCAAAACAGTATTACATGCATAACTTTAATAAATAAACTACCCTACTTTGCAACCTTTTGTTTCAACAAGATGGCTGGTACTTGCTCTAGAGGTTTATGGTGTTACTTAACCAGTATTTTGGCAATGTGTACCCCTCAGTTGTTCACATTTGATATAATAGTTTTAAGCAGTTGTATTTATTGTTCATGTTTTCTTTCTTGCAGATTGAAGAAGTAAAAGACAAAAAAAAACAAGCAAAAAAAGTGGAGCGGGCCCAGAAGAGAAAAAGGGAGAAAGTTACCGGCAAAAAAGAAACGGAACCCAAAGCCAAGAAGCCTCTACAGGTAAAAAGGCAAACACTTAAATATTTATTCGGTAACACATTTTATCACTCAATCACTTAATTTGATTGTTTTTGTTTTCTTTCCATAGGAAGTGGTTGTCAAACAGCCAGAGAAAGAGCCCGGCCCAGACAAGGGCTCAAAACAGTACCTTTGCTCTGAATTAAATAAGGTAAAACTTCACAATCCAAGTCAGTGTTTTATTGTAGAAAAAAAGGTTTTGACCTGATATTTAACCTGCTCTCCCTTGAATTTCTTTCAGGTAATTGATGCATCTGATGTAGTAATAGAAGTGCTTGATGCACGTGATCCAATGGGGTGCCGGTGTCCACAGCTGGAGGAGGCGGTGCTGCAGAGGGGAGGCAACAAGAAACTGCTGTTGGTTTTAAGCAAAATAGGTAAATGGACATGAGATGCTGCAATATGATTTAAAGTCAAGCGCACACATACACACTGATGAGGGGTTTGTGGATTTAAATTAAATACGGCTTGTCTGGACTCTAAATGTTTTTAATTATCTTTTGTTGTAGATCTGGTACCAAAGGAAAATGTGGAGAAGTGGATCCAGTGCTTACAGCTGGAGTTTCCAGTTGTGGTGTTCAAAGCATCACAACTGATCCAGGACAAAACAGTGGTAAGGGACATTTTATGTTTGTGATCAATAACGCATGTTTAGATCTGCAATTTATAATGCTTATACGAAAAGCAGTTGATCCAATAAAAGGTTGTTTTTTGGCATTACTTTTCTTTTAGAAACATGTCAGCTTTTGGATGCATTACCCATCCTAGTTAAGTTCAAGCCTTTGTGCTATGGGCATCTAAACACATGTTCGCTCAAATCCAGCTTTTTTGCAGCATATTTAAATTAATGGAAATGTACAAGGAGTTTAGAAAAGACTGCTACTAATTTTGTGTTTATACATTATTGTAATCTGGAGGACTGAGAAAGTTGAGCAGCCTGCAGTGCTGCTATAACCGGTTATAGCCTCCAAAAGTAACTCACTAACCACTCAATTCAGTGGCTCTGTCATATAAGCAGAGCTGATGTGTAGTGTGTTTGTGAACAAAACCAAGATATATTTTCCAATTCATGCTGTGATTTACATGCTGTGATTTACACAGACTATTTCAGCAATAAAATTGAAAAAAACTTGACGGTAATTAACATTGTTTTTTCTGTCACCATCAGCGAGCCAGGAAGAGCAGGATAGTAGCCTCCAATGAAGTCCTGGACAGATCCCGAGCAGCAGCCTGCTCTGGAAGCGGCTGTCTCAGCGAATTCCTGTCAAGTTATGCTACTAAAACGGAGAATGAGGCTCAACTCAAAGTGGGCGTAGTAGGTAAGCACAATAAAAATCATTTAATTGGCTTATTTCGCTCTGCGGTATAAATATACTTAACTGATTATAGTCTTCATTTCTTTACATTTTCTTGAAGTGTGTAATCTGACTGCTTATCTTTGATGCCATATCCTTTTTGCCTTCAGGTTTTCCTAATGTGGGAAAAAGCAGTCTCATCAACAGTATGAAGGGGATCCTCGCATGCAATGCTGGAGTCAAGAGAGGCATCACAAAGTGAGTGACAAATTAGCATAAAATGCTCCTTACACAACTCAAGCTTTTTCTCTGGGTTTAGTATCATTGCGCCTATTTAGCAGAATTGCACACATGTTCTGCTTTAGCGAAGGATTATGTCCAAATTGTACAAAGTGATAATTAACTTGACATATCTTAGGCCCCTTTTTTCTTATTTTGTATCCCAATAATGAAATGTTTCCTGTTCCCCATCAGATCCATGCAGGAGGTGCACATCCTGAAGAACGTGAAGCTAATAGACAGCCCTGGCATCATGGCGGCGCCGTCCAACCCGCCAGCCTCCATGGCTCTGAGGAGCCTGCAGGTGGAGGAGGGGGGTGTCAGCGCGCATGAGGCGGTCCGGACTCTGCTCAAACAGTGTGACCATAGCCAGGTAAGAGGAGTTCCATCACTGGAGAGATTTCTTTTTTAATTGTTGCATTTGTCAGATGGATTTCTGTGTTTTTATTTCCCTTATACATTATTGTAATCTGGAGGACTGAGAAAGTTGAGCAGCCTGCAGTGCTGCTATAACCGGTTATAGCCTCCTAAAGTAACTCACTAACCACTCAATTCAGTGGCTCTGTCATATAGCAGAGCTGATGTGTAGTGTGTTTGTGAACAAAACAAAGATATATTTTCCAACATATTAATTTCAGCATTCTTGTGGTTTCAGATCATGCTTCAATATAATGTCCCCGACTTCAGAAACTCCCTTGAGTTTTTGACGTTGTTCGCCAAAAAGCGTGGATATCTTCAGAAGGGGGGGGTCCCCAACGCAGAGCAGGCGTCCACGGCTTTCCTCGATGACTGGACAGGGTGAGTGTTTTTTTTTTTTTTTTGCTGAAGGATGCTTCATCAGTGTGGAAATGAGGACACAACGCAAGTCTGAATAATATGAAGACTTCTAATCCAACTCTGATCCCAACACTGTGGAGGATAATGATACTATTATAATGTAAAGAGAAGGGAGTGCTACTGTATGTCAGGCTCACAGAGCTGTCTTTGTTTTGTCTCCTCAGAGCTAAGCTAAGCTATTACTGCAAGGCATCGGAGAACCGCGACCTCCCAGCCTACATGTCCGCTGCTGTTGTGGCTGAGATGCAGAACGGCTGGGATCTGAACAGGCTAAAAACGGGCAACGAGGCAACTCTGAAAGGTATTGGGGTTTTTGATTCTTCTATCAGCAATTTAAAATCTGCAGACTCCTTTTTATTCAATTATAAGGGGCAGAGCACGGGGATGGGATGTAACATAGTTAATCTTCATGTATGATGTAATGAGCCACACAGCCTCTAGGGGCCATTAATGGGCTTGTAGACCCGTCTATGTGCTGTAGCTTCTAATAACATGTAGTCACTTCTGTCTGTGTGGCGCAGTGGGTTATGTGTTGGTTTTCGGATCTGGTGGTCACAGGTTCAAACCCCACCGCAATCAGCATGTCATTGTGTCCCTGGGCAAGACACTTTACCTCAAATTGCTCCTGTGGGGATTGGCCACAGTATTGAGTATGTAAGTCGCTTTGGATAAAAGCGTCTAACAAGTGACATGTAATGTGTTGACTGTCAACATTTTGCTTTTTTCAGATGTAAAATGTCCAAGCCAAGCCGGCAGTATAGGCTTAACTTCTAAGGGCCCGACTGCAGGCCTACTGAGAGTTGAGGACGTCACTGAGGAAAAACCCCTGCTGAGAGTTGTTGAAATCTTTGTAGCAAAACCTGCTGATGCAGCCTCAGAGAGAGCAGAGCAGAATGATGAGAATAATCAGGTAACTATAGAAGTGCTTTATTATTCCTTTTAGAAACTACCAGAATACACAGCTGCCTTTTAAGAATGCTAGCTGTCTGGTCTGCTGGAAATGAGGACAAAAAACGCAAGCCTGAATAATATGAAGACTTCTAATCCAACTCTGATCCTGCTGTCTGCACTTTCTGTGTATTCTGAGGTTTGTTGGACTTTAGTTTAACTATCTGCTTTTCTCTCAGCCTGAACAGACTCCAGAGGAGGTAACAGAGGCAAATGGGACACAAGCAGAGGAACCTCCAATTAAAAGTAAGTTCTGTTTGAAACTTCATTTTTATTACCAAATGCTCTCCCAGCATTGGCATTATTTTAATGTCTTGCCTTGTCTTCCAGGAAACCCAGGCCGTGTGCAGTTTGAGTCTGTCCCCGTTGACATGAGCGTCTCTGCGGCTTCAACAGGAGACGCCTATGACTTCAACACAGACTTTAACTGAGCTCTGCCTTCTTTGTGTGGAAGACATGCAGACCTTGATATGTCGGCATTCAAGGACAAGCTGACTGAAAGGCGTTGGGGTGCCTTTGACTACAAAATGTCAGGCAAAGTTGATTCGGAATGATTTTGAAGTTTACGTGGTTTTGCCCCTTCAATTCTGAATCTGGAAGAAACTGGGACCGTGTCCAGATGAGGACTGACCTTCTTTCAGTTGTTTAGGACAAACGACTGCCCAGCAAATAGACATTGAAATATTCCCAGACGTGTTCTCCCAGATGTTGTCTTAAATGTCCAGAGGTCATTTGTAATAATATTCATGCTAACTATTGTATATAGACGATGTACTATAAATGTAATAAACCCTTTACAAAGCCTATATCATTCATCACTGCCTCATTCCAAAACCGTGAATTTACAATATAGCAGTTTCATGCTATGTTCTTCTTGTGACCCCTATTTCATTACTCTTTTCAGGAAGTATTAAGCAAAATCATGGACTGATCTTGCAAATGGCAAATTCTGAAAGACAACAAAACATTTAAACGATGCATTTCCTTTCATCTACAAAGGTTGAAAGATATTTAAACCAGCAAGGCAATTGCCTTTCAATGTTTGTTCAGTGGTCTGTGTACTGAATTGGTGTTTATAGAAGTCAAATTGATCGGTGGGAGGATCAAAACATTACAAATCCCACTAAATATTTCAGACTAACTTTTGAAATGTTGGATGGAAAGGCTGCTCTCTATCAGGGTGACTGTCCATATCTTGTCAGATAAAGTCGATTTCTGAATCATTTTGAACTTATGGAGTTTTGACTAGTCTGTTTTTGCCTTTTGTTCAATTTCTGAATCTGGAAGACCTTGGGACAGTGTCCAGACGAGGACTCACCTTTTTTATCCTAGATGTTTTTCAGCTTTCTAGGACAAATCAGTGCCCATCAAATGGACTTGCATCTGTTGGCGGGGTCAGCGTTCACGAGGCGGTCCGGACTCTGCTCAGTGTGACCACAGCCAGGTAAGAGGAGTTCCATCACTGGAGAGATTTCTTTTTTAATTGTTGCATTTGTTAGATGGATTTGGGTGTTTTCCTTTCCCTTTTAAAGGGTAACATGTTTGTGATCAATAATGCGTGTTTAGATGTGCAATCTATAATGCTTATACGAAAAGCAGTTGATCAAAGTCCAAAGTTGTTGTTCTTTTTGGCATTACTTTTCTATCGGAAACATGTCTGCTTTTGGATGCATTACCCATCCTAGTTAAGTTAAAGCCTTTCTGCTATGGGCATTTAAACACATGTTCGCTCAAATCCAGCTTTTTTGCAGCATATTTTAAATGAATGGAAATGTTTAAGGAGTTTAGAAAGACTGCTACTAATTTTGTGTTTATACGTTATTGTAATCTGGAGGACTGAGAAAGTTGAGCAGCCTGCAGTGCTGCTATAACTGGTTATAGCCTCCTAAAGTAGCTCTTGCCTCTCAATTCAGTGGCTCTGTCATATAGCAGAGCTGATGTGTAGTGTGTTTGTGAACAAAACAAAGATATTTTCCAACATATTAATTTCAGCGTTCTTGTGGTTTCAGATCATGCTTCAATATAATGTCCCCGACTTCAGAAACTCCCTTGAGTTTTTGACGTTGTTCGCCAAAAAGCGTGGATATCTTCAGAAGGGGGGGATCCCCAACGCAGAGCAGGCGGCCACGGCTTTCCTCGATGACTGGACAGGGTGAGTGTTTTATTTTTTTTGCTGAAGGATGCTTCATCAGTGTGGAAATGAGGACACAACGCAAGTCTGAATAATATGAAGACTTCTAATCCAACTCTGATCCCAACACTGTGGAGGATAATGCAACTATTATATTGTAAAGAGAAGGGAGTGCTACTGTATGTCAGGCTCACAGAGCTGTCTTTGTTTTGTCTCCTCAGAGCTAAGCTATTACTGCAAGGCATCGGAGAACCGCGACCTCCCAGCCTACATGCCAAGCTGGCAGTATAGGCTTAACCTCTAAGGGCCCGATTGCAGGCCTACTGAGAGTTGAGGGCGTCACTGAGGAAAAACCTGCTGATGCAGCCTCAGAGAGAGCAGAGCAGAATGATGAGAATGAGAATAATCAGGTAACTATAGAAGTGCTTTATTATTCCTTTTAGAAACTACCAGAATACACAGCTGCCTTTTAAGAATGCTAGCTGTCTGGTCTGCTGGAAATGAGGACAAAAAACGCAAGCCTGAATAATATGAAGACTTCTAATCCAACGCTGATCCTGCTGTCTGGACTTTCTGTGTATTCTGAGGTTTGTTGGACTTTAGTTTAACTATCTGCTTTTCTCTCAGCCTGAACAGACTCCAGAGGAGGTAACTGAGGCAAATGGGACACAAGCAGAGGAGCCTCCAATTAAAAGTAAGTTCTGTTTGAAACTTCATTTTTATTACCAAATGCTCTCCCAGTTTTGGATTATTTTGATGTCTTGCCTTGTCTTCCAGGAAACCCAGGCCGTGTGCAGTTTGAGTCTGTCCCCGTTGACATGAGCGTCTCTGCGGCTTCAACAGGAGACGCCTATGACTTCAACACAGACTTTAACTGAGCTCTGCCTTCTTTGTGTGGAAGACATGCAGACCTTGATATGTCGGCATTCAAGGACAAGCTGACTGCAAGGCGGACTGTTGGGGTGCCTTTGACTACAAAATGTCAGGCAAAGTTGATTCGGAATGATTTTGAAGTTTACGTGGTTTTGCCCCTTCAATTCTGAATCTGGAAGAAACTGGGACCGTGTCCAGATGAGGACTGACCTCCTTTCAGTTGTTTAGGACAAACGACTGCCCAGCAAATAGACATGAAAATATCCACAGACGTGTTCTCCCAGATGTTGTCTTAAATGTCCAGAGGTCATTTGTAATAATATTCATGCTAAATATTGTATATAGACGATGTACTATAAATGTAATAAACCCTTTACAAAGCCTATATCATTCATCACTGCCTCATTCCAAAACCTTGAATTTACAATATAGCAGTTTCATGCTATGTTCTTCTTGTGACCCCTATTTCATTACTCTTTTCAGGAAGTATTAAACAAAATCATGGACTGATCTTGCAAATGGCAAATTCTGAAAGACGACAAAACATTTAAACGATGCATTTCCTTTCATCTACAAAGGTTGACAGATATTTAAACCAGCAAGGCAATTGCCTTTCAATGTGATGTTTGTTTAGTGGTCTGCATATAAGGTTATATAAAACCTGTCAGACAATACAGTCCTGAATTCCTGTTCATTTATAGAAGTCAAATTGATAGATTGGAAGATCACAATATTGCAAATCCCACTAAATATTTCAGACTAACTGAAATGTTGAATGGAAAGGCTGCTCTCTACTTCTAAGTCACCCTCTAATGTCAGGGTGACTTTGTCCATATCTTGTCAGGCAAAGTAGATTTTTGAATCATTTGACTAGTCTGTTTTTGCCTTTTCAATTTCTGAATCTGGAAGACCTTGGGACAGTGTCCAGACGAGGACTCACCTTATTGTCCTAGACTTCTTTCAGCTGTCTAGGACAAATCAATGCCCATCAAATGGACTTGCATCTGTCATCATGGTCTAGGGCTCATGAAAATATCCACTGACTTCTCCCAGAAGTTGTTAAAGGATTACCTCTTAAATGTCCGGATGTCATTAGTAATGTTCATGCCAAATAATATTTATAGACAATGTACTATAAATATAAACAAAGCCTAAATATTTTACAGTCAAATACGAAACCTTGAATTTACAATATAGCCGCTTCATGCTGTTGCATCCTTTGAACGGCGTTCTTCCTGTGACCCCGATTTCATACCCGTTTTCAGGAAGTATTGCAAAAAAACATAGCATGATCTTGGAAAGGGCAAATGTTGAGATAACTACAAATATAAATGATAAAAATGTAACTTTATTTATGTACTATACAAAGGGTGACAAATATTTACACCAGCAAGGCAAATGCTTTTCAACGTGTATACAAATCCTGACTGAGGGGATATGAAGCATGGTAACATTTGCTTAGTGGTCTGCATATAAGGTCATATAATACCAACAAGTTCAACCTGTGAGGCAATACAGTACTGCATTAGTGTTCATTTAGAAGTCATAATGTATAGGTGTGAAGAATCAAAATATTGAAAATAATTCATATTTGATTATAACCTTAAAATGTTTGATGGAAAGGCTGATCTCAACATTGACCTATGGATCTTAATAATGTGCAATTTATTATAAAACTACTTATACACAGTAAGTATTTCATTGAGGTTTCTGCATGGATAACAGTTACAATTCAGATTGCAGTGATAACTGATAGGAATGTAATTGAAAAAGGGAATGAGGTAACTGTTTAACCACCTAGGATTCAAATAAAGTAAATTGGTACAAAGTTGCATGTAAACAAAGCTCCTTAAAGCACCACTCCTTGGACTGCCTCAGTTATACATCGTAGTCTTGGCAAATCTCATTACTGCTGTCTGGGAACAATGCATTCATATTTAAAGCAATCTAAGGGCACTCGGTTTCTGGACCAAACCATGGGCAGTATGTGTGTGTGCTCTAAGCAGTTATAGGATGCAATTGGTGTACAAAAAAGGAAAAATGTGCATTTAGTGAAGGTGAGAGAACACAGGTCCAGATGTTTGACAGAAGGAGCCCAGGGCTGGTTAGTGAAAAGGCCTTATATAGTTCCTGAGGTATTGCGAGGCGTGATCCTGCTGGGACCGGGTGGGCTTGGCTGCTCAAAAATTCCGTAAACAATTTTTTCAGTCTAGTCCTCTGCGTGTTGACGGACTGGATTGAATTTTCCAGTGGGGTCGGGTATGAACCACTTGTCCCACACGTCAGAAAAGGAGGATGTTCTCCCCCAGGGCTTGTAGTGTCCATTCCAGTGGAGGAGTTTGGCAGCTCTCACAAACTGTGGGGAGTAACGGTTTCCAGCACCTGTCGAGCCTGAAAATACAAGTTTTAGCCATCATATAATAATATAATATAACAATGTCAATACTGTTGATTGTATTTGGTGTCAAAAACGTTTTAAATGTTTAACTTTTAATCTGAAAAAGTCCTAAAGAAAGAACAGAACTGCAGTTTGTAGTATAATTAAACTGACCAGATGCTCATACAAAAGACAAGTCTGTTAAAGGAATAGTTAAACATTTTGGAAAGTTCAAATCATTTCCAAGAGTTATAGGGGAAGATGGAAACCACCATCGTATTTGCTGAAATGCTGAATCATTTCTATATAAACTCTATATAAGCTTCTCAAGCACAAGTCTTGGGTGTATACTCATATGCCAAGTGATACACTTAACTCAGGATTTGATTCCATTCCCTAAACTGGCTTTACAATATGATTTTCTCACATTAAGACAGTAGGTAAGTTACTGAAAAAGATGACACAATTTATCAGACATAAATCTATAAGTAGGTGTAGACTATGAAAAGTGCATAATTCCTTTTTTCTTTGTAAAAATGAAACTTAAACATATTTTGTTTTAAAATGAAATTGAGCTCATGATAGCCCTTTCTTCTCTTGCCATTTTTGCACACTGTTTTGATCTTATCTGTTCTCTTCTCACCTATTGCATTTTCTGACTTGGGGAAGCAAAAACCTGCCACATCTCTGATTTAAAACATGATTGTTATTCCGCAATTTATAAAATGCTCCCTGTGGCTGGCACATCTTTGCACTTTGATCCAGGTAGTGACATAGGAATAAAATGAAGTCAAAAGAAGATAATGCCCTCTTCTGTTTAACCTGTTAAGCCCTGAGCCTGTTTTTCAGGTCTCAGGCTCGAAAATGGCATTCCCAGAACAAATGACATTTTCCATATCTCTGGCCCCCCTCGTTCGATTTTGATGACCGTTAGAGCCAATAAAATCGAGGGGAAGTTCCTCAAATCCATCTAAATATTCCCCATTGGTGAATGAGTGATGCGCAGCCAGAATGCCCCGGAACCGGAAGCTGCGATACACTCTGGTGGCTTTCATTAGCAGCTAATATAAAATCTCAGTTTTTGACATAAAAATGGAATGATGGATTATCAGTAATCATTTCAAAGTGACACAGACACATTCGATTAACCATTGGATTAACCTTCAGCAGCGTCTTTATCGTTTTAATGCCATTAAACACGACTTTTGATCAGAGTAACAGCTAAGGTGAGACGATCTCCCGTGAATGCTCCGTAAAGCTACGTGTTGTGATGTCTGTGTTTGCTTCCCCTGTCGCGAGTTCTGATCGCTCAGTGATGATACTAATACCTATATAATCTGTGGAATCTCAGCTTTAATCTGATATCTTGTTTGTGCAGTTATGATAAGTAATAAGGGTATTTTTACCTTGAGTTCTGTGCTAAGTGCGTTAGCATTTCTTCGCTCAGGGCTCATTTAGACGCTTCTTGTGAGACTTGTGTTTTGTTTTGGTAAAAATGGTTCGTATTGTCAGTTAGCTGAGTTTCTTCCCGTTAAATGGGTATGACACATTAATAGGTTTTTAAATATTAAGAAGCCCTGAGACACAGTTTCGTGAAAAAACGACCCGCAGGACCCGGATTAGGGTCCTCTCGGGCTTAACAGGTTAAAAAGAGTATCACAACTCATAAATAAACTAATTTTGCTGTCTGTATCACACAATCCTTACAGAAAAAGAACAATTGGAATTGTTTGTGTGTAAAATCTATTAGATCTACAACCGGGGCTTCATTGAGAAAAAACCCTCATGTTCAAGTGTCCTATCAGTGAGTAAGCAAAACCTACCAAGGTGCCTGACGTGCCACATCGGGTCGATCATGGAGTGGCGTTTGTAGAAAACAATGAGGAGTGGAGGGGTGGTGATACTCTCTGCCAGCGAGTTACTGTACAGATCCTCCCTGAAGAAACCAAAGAAGATGAGCAAACAGAAAGAGTCCACTAGCCTTTCATTAATCCACCCTCTCCCCTGTGTGAGTGACGTACCGTGTGTTCAGCTCCATCCAGTGCTCCAGCTGCTGGGTGACGTTCTGGTTCCTCCACTCCGTCAGGTTGGCGATGATGACCCCGGGGTTGAAGGAGCATGTGTTAGCCCTCATGCTTAGCTTCTTAATAGGGTCCTTCTTGAAATCCAGGAAACCTATATAGCTATTCTATTGGAGAAAATACATTATATAATCAAATGTTGGCAACTTCGTATAGAAACATTCCACATAATGATACTCTTGGAATTGTTTTACATAACTGAAAAAACTCCAAGAGATGGCCCACCTGATTTCCAGCCCCTCGAACGAAACCCTTAGAAGATGCTGAATCACAGTCATCAGAAAATGCAGCTGCGTGTCCTGGTTTGAGGTTACTTTCATAAAGCTCCTGAATGTCTCCTTAGATCCAGAAGAACAGCAAAATTACACTTTTAATTCACTTACAGAGGAGATTTTTCTGACTGCTTTGGCATGTATAATTACAAGAGTTAATGATCATAATAAATGCATTAAAAACACATTTTCTGAATGCAAAATGGCTGTAAAATAGTCCTTTACAGCACCTTTACATGTTTATGGCCAAGGTAATATCCTCCTTTATGGTGGCGTCTTACCTTGTACAATAATATCATCATCCAAATAGATAGCTTTCTCTGCCTCAGGTAGGTATGCAGGTAGATAATATCTGGCAAAGGTCAACTGAAAAAAAAAGACAGATTAACAATGTTTGTAACTGACAAATATTCACAGTAAAAACTGTAATAAAACCTTCCTTTGGCTTACCGGTTTGACAGCTTCCAGTGTCTGAGGATCTTTAGAAATCTTCCCTTTGAGGAGCTCAGGCTTAAAAATAACAATCTTATATTTGACATTTTTTAGCCGTGTCTTTGTAAGCCACTCACTGTTGACAAGGAAGAAAAGGTCATGTTAGATATTATAGATATGTCTGCCCAAAGCAATATAATGGTATGCAGGTAGCAAGACAGACAGGTACCATTTTCTTACTTTAGGTGATCCACCGTGTCATTCAGAGTCACTATGGTGAACACAACATTGGCTTTACTGTTCTGGTAGACACTGTTCATGGCAGCAACCACAGCCCCCAGTCTTTCCTCAGCAGCGGTGATGAGGACAGGGATCTCCTCTCCTTTCCTCATTGTCTCTAGTCTAAGGTCTGGAGACACCTCGGATTCAAAGGGAAGAACTATCCCTGCATCTGCATAAAACAAGGACACATTTTAGATTTCGCAAATTACTTCCATGGTTTTAGTTTGAAGCACTGAATTAGTTTGAAAAGATGTTCAAACAACAATACATCTGATATTCTGAGGCAAAGCTACAAAGCTGATATGCAATACTCTTCACCAAATAATAAATAGACATACCTGGATTTTCCAAATGTAAAATGTCACTTAGGTTGAGGAGGTTTCGTTCAACTATGATCAGGAAGGCAACAGCAAGCAGCACAAGGATGATCAAGTTTACTGAAAAAGAGATTAGCTGATTTTAATGATAGCTGTGGTGCACAACCCAATTAAACAGTGGCAGTGTGGTAAATGTGGTAAATGTGGTATCCAGTTTGCGTCTGTATCAATTTGTATATGCTTCCTCGACACTGACTCACCTCTCTTCATTGTCACGAAAACGGCCAAAAAAATCAAATAAATGTAAGAAATCTCAGAGTTGATCTGAGTGCAGCCCAGGATGCATTAGCTGGCTAAAGAGGACTGAGATGAACCTGGATTGCTGCTGCTCCGCTGCGTTAGGTCCACATCAGAGCCGTATAAGATCTCTTTATACGGCTCTGGTCCACATAAAAACACACCGGGACCTTCAGCAAACTAGTATCTTTTTAGCGGTGTCTTCCTTTGCTTAAATTTAGCAAAGGAAGGTTTAGTTTAGAAAGCAGGGAGGACAGCAAAAGTAATACACGCTGAAGCCAAACTGCCAACTCAACAGCAACAAGTTTATTCGCCAGCAAAAATGCACATAGTGATAGCTGCCCTTGCGTTTGCCTGATTGTAAAAATGCATTAGCTTGGTGTTTCCAGTATTTACAGAAATCATTGTGAATTTAATTTAGCGCGTTGATATCATTTAGTGACTGGGAATACAAGTTCAACATTGTATAATTAAATATGCATAGGTTTAAGTCATGAGACATATTGACTAAAGGTAATTTAGTCAGGCAAAGCTTTTCACTACCACCAAATCAATTGTGTTCAAAACGCGCCGCACTTTACTAAATCCATTCCCTGTTAGTTAGAAGCTGCGCAGACATTCAGGATTTCACATATTTGTGTTCCTTTATTTATTCAAGAACATTATGAACATCATTTATTTTATATACAAAAAAGTTGGTATCAGTGGTAGACATATAAAGTCATAAGAAAATACATAAAATAAAGAAAAAATACAGTTTCATATTTCAGATTAAATATTTGTTAAATACACAATTAGTTTTGATTACATTTGTATTCATAATGATTTAGCTACTATATTGTTTTTAATTATTGGTAAAAATGTTACAACCCTCAGAAGTACCCGGATGGGTCCTTCACAACACGACGTAGCTTTTTCAAACCGGAAGTCAAACTACTTCGGTTTGGTTTGCTCCACAATTTCTCCGTTTGTGCTTTAATTTACTTCAAGTACAAACATGCTGTCGATATTCAAATCCATCCCATCGCACATGGTAAGACATTTTTATCCTTTTTAACGTGAAGAGGAATTATTTAGCAAGTTATTAATTCATGCTTTTGTATCAAGCTAACGGTGACATTATTTCCTAGCTAACCATTGCATTGATAACAGCTGCTAGCAAACGGTTTACATCCTTCAAAATATGTTAACCAACCATCCAATGTCTCTGACCGATTGTGCTTAACAGCTAAACAAGGCTATAAGGCAACTCTCAGTTTATAGGTATCAGTTTCGTCGGTTATTTATTCTGCAGTGGTGGCCCCATTTACTCCCTTGTCTCAATCTGTACTGATCTTGTGAAATGTTTACCCTGCTAAGAGAATATTGTTCACCAGTCTTTACTGCACATTTGAGGTTCATTTACACTAAAGCACGCGTACATAGACGTCAACAAAATTATTATGATGCTATAAGAAAAGCAATAGATGATGTAGTGCAAGTGAAATGTTAGTCTTAAATCTTATGTATTACTGTATTTTCCTAATCAATGATCAAACAAGGTTTAGTGCTTCCAATCCCAGTTCTTAACACATATGTATACTTTTCTCTGAATAGTATTTATACAAAAATAGTAAACAACAATTGTTTTTAAATTATTATGGTTTTGTATATACTTTTCTCGATCTGGACCATGAGCCCGTAGCAACATTGTTTGATGCTTGATAAATGTTGCCTAAATTATGTTTGTCCCCTTCCTTGTGTTACAGGATTATAAAGGCCAGAAACTGGCTGAACAGATTTTCCAAGGAATAATACTCATCTCAGCGGTAACTAACCACGACACATGCAAACCAGCAATTAAAACATTCTTACTGAAATCTATATATTGTTTACCTGTTGTCAGGTTCCCTGATATCTTTTGTATCATCTTTCCAGGTGATTGGATTTGTGTACGGTCTGATCATTGAACAGTTTGGATGGACAGTGTACATCGTCTTGGCTGGATTTGTGGTGTCCTGTGTGGTAAGAATCCTTCAGTGATTGTTTTAGCGAAGCGAGGACATATAGATACGATGTAGTGTTGATATAAATAATCTCAATCTGATTGCTGGCTGCTTTGTGGTTGCATACCATGTGTGTACTTCTTGTAGGGGTGCATAAACAACAGCCATCATTAAATAATATCTTTTTCTGTTCTTGACTGTAGTTGACGCTGCCTCCATGGCCGATGTATAGACAGAATCCTCTGTCCTGGCAGCCAATTATTCCAGAGACTAGCGCGGAGCCAAGCCAAAAACCTCAGGAAGCCCTCAAGAAGAAGAAGCATAAATAACTCAGAACATTCCCTGCCCAGCTGTTAATACATCCTTTATCAGAAAATATTTGGAACTTTGTTTTACAGTCTACATCTGAAGCATTTAGGAAGGAAACATTGTTACAGTGTTTGTAAGTCAATAGTGAAATACTGTCCAAATAATAAACATCTGATTCTCTGTTTTATAAATGTGATGTTTCATGTGTATTTCTCTACCTGTAAGAGTTATTGAGTATGTTATTGTATCCGAAAGATGCATTTTTATTTAGTGTTACTCTATATTTGTCACTTTAAATGACCAAGTTGTTTTATTGTGGTTCTTGACATCAAAAAAGGTTGTAGACCGATAAAGAAATCACATTTTAGAATTTATTAGAAAAGATTCAAATATTAATATCTGCAATACATCTACATTACATTATTTTGTGTATAAGAAATTAGAATACAGCAAGAACAGGGAGATCTAGTGTCTTCAAAGAAACAGCATAGATGAAACAATTATTGAAATGTATAGATGGATTATAAATAAACAAGTATCCATTACAGAAAGTAGAAAAACAAAGAGTGCTTTAACATGACTCAAAATATGCATAGACAGTCTGCAAATTACAGCAGTAATTAAGAATTCTGTTTTTGAAAAACAAGGTAAAAAAGGAACTTTAAACAGTTATTAACAGAAGACTGCTCGCACCTGAGCATTGTGGAAATTCAATCTACAAACAAGCTTGTGTTGGTGTCTGGGCAGGCAACAATTCATATTCGGTGAGCACACTTGAAAGCTGAAATATTTCTCCCGTAGACAAATGTTCTTGTTAGAGATCAATCAAAAAGCCTCTTTTCACAATTGGTATCATTGAACATATTCTCTGTTGTATTCAGGATTTCTTCTAGCCATTGACGGCAATATCCTCAAAGAATTTCAGCTGCCTCACCATCACAGCATAGGCTTGGTACTTCTCATCTCCCATCTGATCTCGAAGGCACAGCTGCATGGGAAAAAAAGGATGCTCACTTATCATTTAGGAAACAGGACAGCTGGATTATCTGGCTTGACGTCTCAGACAAATCGATTACACTGTCCATGGACCAGTTATTATATTCTAAGGTGTGATATGGACAGAATATCATACAATATGATCTTAAATATAACATACATTTTCACAAAGAAGTCAGTCTAATTTATTGATTTTCAGAACTCTTAACACAAAGACAAGATTAAATGAATGCATTGACCTAACCAATGCATCATACACTAATAAATCAATCTCTGTATGTAACTTGTACACCACTCTTTCATCTTTGGGACTTCCACAATGTATTGCACCTAAGCAAACCATGATACTCCTGATCATTTTCAAAAAAGCATTTTGCAAAAATGAACACACATATTTCCCAAGATCATATTTAGCTGCTTCCTGATTTGTTTGTTAAACCCTGGGTACAGTACATATGATTTGGTGTGATTTGTTGAACATCATACCTCTCGTTTGGTATCGTCCTCCACCTCCATGATTTCCAGGACCCTGTCCAGCAGCTTGACCCCCAGACCCTTCACCACATCTGTCCTCAGTTTCTCTATGGCTCTCCTGATCTTGGCTGGACCAGACGACGAGCCTTTTAGAGGGAGGCAGGTTAAACACAAAGAGTCTCCAGAATGCCTGAATGATGCAAGATAGCGTTTGATCAAAATGTCTAACCGATTGGTATTTCACCGAGTGACAAGTTCTCCGCATCCTCTCGAGCCTTCCCATGAAGCACCAGGGTGTCTCTGTACTTCCTGTTCAGTTTGAATTCTGGCAACGAGGTAGAGCTAAATCCACTTGTGTCCACCTCAGTCACACCGTCCCCAATATCCATTCTCAAAGTTTGGGTCATCATGTTGACTAAATCGTGCATGTCACCTGAATCGGTCTTCCTGCAGATGAACCATAAATCAGGGATAATACAGCACAATGTACAAAAGTACTTTTTTTACACGGTTTACACAAAAAACTAGTATGATATCAGACCTTCTAGAGAAATGAAATGAACATCAGTTTGCTCTTACTTTTCCCTGCAGTCTCCCTCCAAACGTTCTGTGGAACTTGTGGATGAGCTGCACTCGTCTTCATCTGACCTTTGCTCCGGCAACTTATCCTGCTGTAATAAAACACATCCCATTATTGTGACGGACATTTCACACACACTTCTGTTTAAAAATCACAAGGCACATTTCATTCTAATAGTCATCCAAAAAGATGGGGTGTCCATACCTTACAGTTGATCTCAGTGAAAGATGCTGAAACAGATCTGGTGTATGGAGAGTTGTGGTGCTCCTCCTTGGTGGAAGTGACATCATAAGATGCCCTTCTCACAGCACTAACGTCTGTAGAAACAACAGGAAAGTTACCCAAATCAATTCATCTATTTATACTGTTTTACATTTTTTGTATTTCCAACTATGATTTTTGTGTTTCAGGAAATTAAAACTAGGTACCTGTATGGCTGGAAACCTCCTGGGACTGCCTCAGTCTTCTCCTCTCTCTGGCAGTGAGAGGACGATCCTGATAGTAAAATCGACAAATGTTCTGTTATTATTATTTGCTGAATTCGGCAAGAATATAACAAAGTCCCAATAATAATCAGGGCAATAACAGAGTTTTAATTTTGTTTTGTAGTCTATTTAGCTTTTGTTCTTGTGCGTGAGTGGAGAAGAACTCTCACCTGTGGCAGCGGTAAGAACCCGTCCTTCGAGGAGCTCACTGAGGTGGAGGTGGCAGCTGCACTGGATTTCTTGCCCTCTGTGCTCCTCCTGCTCCTCTTCGTCCTCTCCACGGCTGTGCTCTCAACAGGGAGTGGAGGTAAAGGTCTAGGAGCAGCCACCTTGGACTTACAGAGGGCAAAACATAATACATCAAAGTTGAATTAAGATGAATGAATATAGATCGTTTAGTTATTTTAAGTCTCAAATGTGTCATATTAACTGGTTGGATATAAAACTGCTGAGAAATGTACTGTACTTATTAAAGAGGATATTTCCTAGCATAAATTGCGTGTCCATTCCCAAATGCAATATGATGTTCAGTTGGAGAAAACAGTAGACAGTATTTGAGCAGAAATATGTTATGGTGGAAAGGTTTCTTTCTTATGTTTCAAATGTTGTCCCAAGGGGCACTGGCCTTAATAATCCAGTAACAGACCTGCTGTAAAATGTTTTATATTTTAATCCACAGCACCAACAATCCTTGAGTTGATCTATTTGTCTTTACCTTTTCCTGATCCCCAAGTGTCCGTCTAACATCCCTGCCTCTGTGCTGCTGCGACACTGACGGTTCTGATGAGAGGAACAGGGGAGTTGGGCACGGAGGGGTCCGACCCGGTTTACTGGCTGGTGAGGGAGATTCTTCCAGAACAGGCTCCTAAAGAGATTCAATAACATTGTTTCCTCAGTGGCTAAAATCTTCCAACATTGTGCCTCTGGGAGCACAGCTGTGTCACACATTCAGCTAATATGAAGACTCAGTTTTTGACATAAAAATGGAATGATGGATTATCAGTAATTTTTTTAAAGCGACACAGACACATTGGATTAACCTATGGATTAACCTTCAGCCGCGTTTTTCTCGTTTTAATGCCATTGAACACAACTTTTGATCAGAACAACAGCCAAAGGTAAGAATATCTCAGTTTTTGCTACCTAAAGCTACGTGTTGTGATGTCTGTGTTTGCTTCCCATGTCGCGAGTTCTGATCGCTCAGTGATGATACTAATACCTTTAGAATATGTGGAATCTCAGCTTTAATCGGATATCTTGTTTGTGCAGTTTCCATACGTAATAAAGTATTTATACCTAGAGTTCTGTGCTAAGTGCGTTAGCATTTTTTCACTCAGGGCTCATTTAGACGCTTCTTGTGAGACTTGTGTTTTATTTCGGTAAAAATGGTTCATATCGTCAGTTAGCTGAGTTTCTTCCCGTTAAGTGAGTATGACACATTCATAGATATTAAATGTTAAGAAGCCCTGAGAGACAGTTTCGTGAAAAAAAGAAAAGCCTGTAGCCCCTGCCGGCGGGGGCTATGGGGCATAACAGGTTAAAGAGTGAAATAATTGTAATGCTCACCAGTTTTGGAGGGAATGGCTCTAATAGCTTTTCGGTAGATTCTAGGCTTTCCTACAAACACAAAAAAATATAATAAATTAATTAACACATTCAAAATAGACAAGAATACTTTATGAGACAAACAGAACATATACTCCATATTAATAAGAGCACCTACTTGGATGTCAGGGGTATTGTGTTTGGTCGGAGCTCCCTTCAGCAGGGTAATGGTGTCACCTTTATCGTCCATATTAACTTCAATGTTTTCTTTATTAGTTTTGTGTGCAGATCTCCTCTCAGGTGTAGAAAGAGCCTCCTCTCTCTCAGCTTCCAGCTTTGGGCTCTGCAGGTCAGCCTCTTTAAGTAACTCCATGGTGTCATCCTTATTATCCACATCTGACATCTGTTTCTCAATCACAGAAAATGTATCCGCAGGGTTTGGTGCAGCCTGTGGATGATTACCCAACAATCCATTGGGTGCCATCCTCTCTTTTGCTCCCTGACTGGCAACACCTGATACAGACTTCAGAGGGGGCTTAGCAGGGGGAGGGGTGGGAGTGGGATCTGGTTTCCCTCTCCCCTGGCTGTCTCTGTGCACACTGTGAGTCACGGGTTCATTCCCTCCACGGTGATGAGACACAGCGGACGGGGGCCCATGCACCTGCCTCTTCATCACGTCCTCATCCTCCTGACGTTGGACATCAATATTGATGTTGCTGATGGTTGCCATGGATGCAATGAGAGCGTCTGGGGAAGGAGGTTTGGGTTGTGATTTCTCTTCTTTCTAAAATGAAAGAGAAAGAAACAAAAACATGATAAACACTGTGAAGAAAGTGAAGAAGCTTTAGTGTTTACAGCAATCCACTGGAACCTTTGCAACATTAACAGCCAGGATAAAATCACACACAAAAAACATTTGTATTCAGTAATTAAACTTATTCAGGACTAAATTGTTTGATTTGTAAAACCTGGATACAGTGTTATGTATGTTATACTGGACATTTAATAAGGTTAGACAATGTGGCAAGAATATTATACATGTTGTATTGCTTCTGTTGAACTGATCCAATCAGAAACATTACGGTTACAACAATCCTTATTGCTTGCTATTGGACAAGTACAGCAGCCCACTGATAGCATTGTGATAACTAACTCTAAAGTGGAGCAAATGCATTAGAATCCATGACAATATATCTAAGCAGACAAATCCATTCCATGAACAAGCATTTGATATCAAAAACTAGTGCTATGCTAGTTTGCCGTAAAACATGGTATTGGACATGATAGGCTTCTAATCCAATGAAAAAGTACAATTCTATAAATAACAACACAGTAATTCAATACTGAGTGGTTGAGAAACTGTAGGAATAATCTAAAATATGTTCATGTTATAGTTGTGTGTTGTCTGTGTTAAACCAGTGTTGCAATTCTGGACTCACTCACCCATTTGGCCCTGGCTGGAGGTGCATGCTGGGGACTTCTCTCAGGTTTTGGCTGAGATGACACCACAGACGGTCCACTGTTGGCACCACAATCCCCACTGCCCCCCTCAGCTTTCTTTCTAGACTTGGCAGTTTTTCTGTTCAGAACCAAATTAAACACAAACATGTAAGAAAAGATGATATTCTGCTCAAGGCTAGCAGCTCACTGTTTCAGTGGAACAAAAATAAAAGAGAGACAAATATCTGACTGATGTACAGAATAGTTCCAATAGATGTTTAGTGAAATGTGCATACTATGAACAGCTTTAATGAAATTAGAATTGAACAATTAGGCAGTCTGCTGTCGGTGCCACCTACTCTTTAGTGGCCTCGAGGAACATTGCAATTTGTCGTTTGATGTAGGGCTGTCGGAGGATCAGTTTGACATCAGGCCTGTCTTCAGGTCTCTTACACAGCATGCTCTTGATCAGGTCTCCCAGCTGGAGGTCATACCTGCTGGGCATCTGTGGCAGCTGATGAGAAAACCAGAGGGAAATGTTATAAATCGTTTTGAAACTATTTGGCCAAATCAAGGTTTCAGAAACATGATATGCTGTACTAGTTAGAGAAAAGAGAATCAATTAAAAACCTAGAATATCTACCTTTCCTTCTACGATGCGATAAACCAGCGAGTTCATGTCCTTGGCATTGAAGGCATGTTTCAGTGTGGACATTTCATACACACAGCAGCCCAGGGCCCATACATCTGACTAAAGAAACAGAGAAAAATCAATTTGTAAAGCAGTACTATAACAATTCACAAATAAAAACACATAGTAAACTCATTCAACCATATTACCTTGTGGTTATAGGGTTTATTAGAGAAGAGCTCTGGACTCATGTAGTAAGGGGTCCCTATGAGAGTGCTGGCCATGTCATTCTGGTTCTCCAACACCCGTGCGATGCCAAGGTCTCCAACTTTGATGATGTTGGTCTTTGTCAGGAAGATGTTTTGTGTTTTAAGGTCCCGGTGAAGAATGTTCCTCTCATGCAAGTACTGCAAAGCAAAATCACAACAGTGACTACAGGTGTCCTGTATTCATATAAAGAAAATAAATGATGTCTGCCCTGCATGGCCTTCAGTACCTGGAGAGCCATGGCTATCTGGACAAACCACTCCACCACCTGCCTCTCAGGTAACAGTTCGCCCTTTTGCTGTTTGAGTCGGTGGTAAAGGTCACCGCCTTCACAGAAACCCATGGCAATGTACAGCTGGCAGTCATCTCCTTCCCAAGACTCCCTGTACGTCACGATGTTGGGATGTCGCAGCTGGGACAGAAGCTGCGCCTCCTGCTCTGCAGAACGCCGCTCCCGCTTCGAGGAGGTGGTTAAATTCAGCTTCTTAATGACATACTGGAGAAAAGAGAATAGGCACAATGACTCTCCCTGATGGATGGAAATTATGGAAAACAAACAGTATTTGTTATTCTATTGTCTGTGGACTAACACTTTTAGAAACCAAAATACCTAGGTCACTCTTGGAAAAGAGATTTTAATCTCAATGAGTCTTTTACCTGGTTAAATAAAATATATATATATACCTGGCATAACATATGAAAAGTCCCCATAAAGTGGGAAAAGTAAAGCATTTCAAATCAGCTTCAGTTCTCATTGACATCATATCATGTTTTGGTAAAAGGTGAAGAGAGGTGTAGACCACAGATTCTGAAATCCTGCAAACAGTTTGAGATCCAACATACATGAATTATTTGTTGTTATTGTTTTATAGCTTAGGTTCTAACTACAAACTTCCATTACAAGAGGGGGATAACAGTCCCCATGATGGTCAGAACAATTATCATCCAGCTACCGTTTCTTTAATTTAAATGGCTTAATATAAAAAATGTTGTTGTTACAAATCCTTAGGGAATATTAAAGGACGATGCAGACAGGAAACAGCTGAATGTTATTTTCCTGTAATAAATAACAACACAAATAGTTTTTACTAACATATTACTGTTGAGTCCTGTCTTCCAGCTGTTACTAGTATTGTGTTCATACATATCAAATATAATATAAAAGAGCGTAAACAAATCTGTTATGTTTTAGCATACTTTAGCTAACTTTAAGCTAGTTGAAGCTTAGCTGAGTCTTTGTAGAGTCATGCCTGGTGATTATAACGTTTCAAGCAACACCAATTGTTAAAGCTACGTAGCTTATTTAAGTAGTTTTTGGGTGTATTGAATTCCACACACACACAAACATCACCTGTTTTCTGTCTGTTTTGTTTTTCACCAAGTTCACCTCCCCATAGCTCCCTTTCCCGACGACCCTGATGAAAATATAATTATTCATTGTCCTTCAGGAAAATCTTCATAACGCGACCAGAAACGCTGAAGACATTACACGACATGTCCAGGAACAATAACTGGTTTATTTCGTCCCATACTCGAGCTGCACAGTCGAGATAAACCTGTGAAATATGTTGGGAAAACTTCAGCTCAGAGTGCCAGCGATGAGGTTTTGAACGCAGGAAATCAGCAGCGGATAGTTTTTCGTCACTAGGCAACTGTCAGCTCCCTGCCGACGAAGCTGAGAGGGACCTACTGGAGCAGAAACAGTGCCGTGTGCACCACAGCGCCCCCATCGGCGAAGAAGGATACATACTTTATTAATAAACCCCAGTGATGTAGGCCTACAGTATTGTACACCTTTGAGAGACCTGTTCTTAACTTGAGTATTTCAGTTTGTGCTCATTTGTTCTTCTACCCCACTACAATCCAGAGGTAGATTGTGTACTTTTACTCCACTACATTTATTAAATACCTTTAGTTACTTTGCATATTTGGACTAATGATGTGAAATATAAAAAACACTTAAATAACACTTTAGTTATAATTTGAATGTAGGACTTTTGCATAGTATTCCTATTCTGAGGTAGTAGTTCTACTTTTACAAGATCTGAGTACTTTTTCAACCACTAATAATTCCCACGGGGAAATTCAATGTTTAACCTTGTTGTTGTTAACATGACATTATGAGTGGTGGAAGAAGTATTCAGATGCCTTACTTGAGTAAAGGTGCCAAATCATTATTGTCAAATTACTTAATTACAAGTAAAAGTATTGCATTCAAAACCTTACTTGTAAAAGTACAAAAGTATTATCAGCAAAATGTAAAGTATAAAAAGTAAAAGTTATCATTGTTCAGAAAAATTGCCTTTGACTGTGTTTATAATCATATTTATAATATATGTGACATTTCTAGATAATATTGTTGCATCAAGTAGCATTTTACTTTTGTATACAAAAACAAAGTTCGGATTGACTTTTTGTAAAATATTTAAATAATTTTGGGGTTACCAAGAGCCAAGAACCTACAGAATTAGCTACTGCTATCCAATGAATAAGGTATTGGCAGCATCCTTAACAGAAGCCATTCCTTTGAAATGCCTTAACTAGGAAATGAAAGGTAATGCCAAATTGTAGTTTTTTAAGAGTGAAGGTTAGAGGTGAAGAGGCCTAGCTGTTTATCACAGTGTGATAACCCTGTGTACATATGGTGCCCCGCTTGTTTTTGATAGGCCCAGGAATTAAGTTCTTGCTCTTTGCAAGAAATGGTGTGCATACCGTTATCCCTTGACACATACATGTAGATAGGCCTACATGAAATGAGATGTAACTTTCATTAATTAAAGTTACTTATTACACCTGTACTTTTTCTGACATGACATGTCAGAGAGAACATTTTTTATACACTATAACTATTGCAGATTGCAGACTTGTAATATTCTTGACCTTGCCTGTTTGTGGCCCACTATCCACCAGATGGAGCACAAGACCAACTTAATCTGAGACAATCTGCACAAATTCACGATAGCAAAGTCTGCTCGCACCTTGCAGGATAAATGGACAAGGTCCGTTAGGACAAGACAAAATATTTAAAAATATTTAAAAAGTTGATTTAAATCAAATCAAATAATTGAAAAAGAAGATCAAATCAATGAGCCTAAAACAGTACTTGCGGTCAGAAGTTTGCTGCTACCACAAACTCTACCATCAGCCTACTACTAAAAGGCTTATATTAGTTATGTGAACCAGTTTTGTAGCCTTGGTCTTTGTCATTGTGTGTGACCTTTACCTCTGGATCAGGTCTATATTAAATAAGTGATCATGTGATCCAGAGTTTTAGAGATAATCCCTGCATCTGCAAAGCCATTTTCATTTTCTCTGTGAATACTCATACCATTAATATTTTTCTAAGACCACAAATAATTTAGCAACTTCCATTGATTTTCATCAATATATAACAAAAGTACAAATACAAATATGCTGAAATGGGATAGATGATAAAGTCTACCAATCCAGATGATTGAGATTCAAATGTAATGAGTGCCAGAGTACCAACAAACTGTACAGTTGGCTTATTATTTACAGAGTATTGCATTGTTGTATATTAATACATCTTTGTTGGTAGCTTGAATGCCATAGTTTCAGTATTGTAAAGTAACTAAGTACATTTACTCAAGTACTGTACTTAAGTACAATCGAGGTATAAATGTGATAAACACATCAATAATTATAATCAAAACATAAAATATATATGATTGTGAAATGGGCCAATCTGCATGAGTACTTTTGGTACTTTAAGTATATTTAGATGCCAATACTTTAATACTTTTATTTGAGTAACATTTTGATTGCAGGACTTTTAATTGTAACAGAGTATTCCTACACTTTGGTATATATACTTCTACTTAAGTACAACTAAGATCTGAGTACTTCTTCCAACTCTGCTTGGTTTTCAGCATAGGGCCACCAGATAAAACCATTAAGGCTGCTCACCGACACACTCACCTCCTGTTATAAGTGCAGCCAGGGTGTCACGGGGAGGTGACCAATAGCGTGGCAAAAATGTTTACCTGTGTTTACAGCTCGGGCTCTGATTGGTCGGTGGGCCGGCCTGCCCTGAGGTGACGTCAGGAGGAGCGCTGCTGGTGAGGTTAGTACAGATTCCGCGTGAGGCGCTCCGAGTTGTAGAGACTAGAGACGGACAGACGGAAGAACACACGGCTGCTGGACATTACTCCCCGTTACATTTCAGGTAGGAAGGACTGCTGCTGCACTGTCATGACACAAACTTTTAACTCTGACTCTCAAAGGCTAGACGGATGTTAGAGCGTGGATCTTTGCCCGGGTTTTCTGGCGGCATTTATCACTAGCTAACCTTAACAAGCGCTTAACATGCACTCATTTTCGATTATAGGAACGTTTTACAACTCTCTGACAGGGGTTTTGTTGACTTTAAAACTATATTTCAGTGGAGGCTGCTGAAGTTTACTGTCAGTCTCGTTATGTATACTCACTCACATGCAGAGGACCTGTGTAACTGAAGCTGCAGTTTGCAAGATAATGGACTGTATGAGGGACTGAAGTGACACCTGTCTTCTTCCATGCAACCAGTATAACTTCACTTCTTTCTGAATTATTGTAACCTTATAAGGTCAAGATTTTTTTTCTACAATATGGTCTGACCACATATAAACAGCGATGGTGTTATTATTATCATTCTTCACTGCAAAAATAGCATGCAGGATTTCTCAGTCAACATGACAGGATGTGTATTTTTACCCCCTCACTCATTTCTAATTTCGTTTTCCCTCTTTTTGTTTCTCTTTCATCTCTCTTTCATACACAAAAACCATTCTAATCTCTTATGGAATAAGTCTGCTATCACTTAAAAAGGTCACTTTTAAAGAAGATTTGCAGACTGCATTAGTCAATATCTCTGTGTTTGTCACTGAGCCAGTGGATGAATAGGGTTGATGGATCGAGGGACATGCAGAACAGAATATATAGGTAATCAATAGATAATAATGAAGGGTACAAGTTATTAAACAGGGAATCCGGAACTATCTCTCCACTGCTATCTCTTTGTTTAAACACTGGCCTACAGAAAATACACTCGCCCACCACTACAGATACCTCTTATCTTTATCAGTTCAACCATTTGAAACAATGAATCATTTGTATTTTTTGTACTAAGTGTGTGAATGGAGTTTTGTTGTGCTGGCTCCAGCTGCATGCATTTCACTTCTGTTGATGTGTTTATTTCCTTCTTTACAAAGAGAGAATAAAGCCATTATGGGAAAACATAACACTTCTGGGATTTAGAAAATACTATTACTGTCCTTCAAAAAATGCATTATACTCTATGGAATCTGATACAAAACCTGCCCAGCCAGGTGTGAGGGGAATGCTTAGCTTTTCTCTTCAGGGCAGCATTCAGATTGATAATGAGCGTAGTGCCTCTGCAGCTCTGAAAGCATTGCAATATTTGAGACGTAGCTATGCGCATACCCTGATAAAGCTCTGAAATAAGTAAATACGTTTAAAATCATTACACAAACTAGACCTATTAGGCTTTCAGTGTAGTGAATCTGCTCTACAAGGAAAGCAGTCCGTTCACATGACAAGTCTTGGTCGTCTTCCGCTGAGACTGGAGCCATCCAGTTCACACAAAACAAGTGATGTGTTCAAGAGCAGTTGCTTTAAGTTAGCTTTTAGACATCTAGTTTTAGTATCAGCACTCTTAAGTGTGTCTGTTAGTATGTTCTAGGTCCTTCGTGTGTGTAGTGTTGCTAAAAGTTTTCACACCATTAAAAAGAAAATTTCACACAACACAGTTACCACATGTCTGTTCGTCACCTTTAACTGTGGTCGTGTGTGTGTGTGTGTCTTTCTTCCGTCTTCTGCACATCACAGCAATGGGAAACCAGTGAGTACTGCGACTATCTTTTGTGTAAACCTTTGTGAAAAGAATGAATGCTGCATGTTACATACTAGTCAGGGTTTGTGATTTTAATATCATGCATCTCCTCCTCAATCCTTTTGCTTCTTGGGTTTTGAGCAGCTCATCTTCACCCGTTGGCCAAAAGTCATGTCATCAGTAGACATGATTTGGCTGTTTTTGGCCTTGTTCATGCGATACCTGCATGTGTCTCTCTCCTCTACTCTCCCACATTTTTTAAACTTGCCCCTATCTGCCCCTGCGTGTCAGTAACTTGAACCTTACTCAATATCTTTTGCCTGTTTGAAAAGCAGACCCTACTTGCTGAACATTGTCCCTTGAACTCCAATTGCTTGACATGTGTTGTATGAAATGTAATATAAAGTTGTATAAAGTTAAACATATGTGGATGTTTGCGCCATTGAAGTGAAATCCAAGTGTTTTGAAGAATATTGAGGTGTGTATCTGTAAATTCTGGTCGATTTCTGAAATGAGCACAACCAGTACCGATCAAAGTTCAGATGCATTTATAGATTTTAAAAGGCCATGATGTTAAAATGACTGTGATGTTCAATATCAGTGAATGAATTAACATAAATCTCTCTGAATCTCCATATGAGCAAAGTGAGACGCTACAAAGAAGCAGTATGTGACCGTTTCTCTGACTTCAGTATTTTCTCCAATTGGTCTTGTGCAATTATATTTGGCCTAAAGTTTACAAGGCCTAACTGTTGTTTTTGATATGCCTTTGTAATGCATGA